TTGTGTTGCCGGTTTAGGCTCAGACCCTGTGTGCAGCTCAGGGTGGGCTAGAGAAGCCACACCACACATTCCCAGCAGCCTCTCCTCTTCCTGTGTCTTCTGCCCAGCGACTTGGGAGTTCTAAGAGTGGAACTACGACGCTGGACTAGCAAACACAGCCTTCGTCCGTTAGTGCCTGCTGCCCTGTCCTCTGGGACTTCTACCACCTGATGCTCAGAGAAAGAGTAATGAGCTTCAGATAACTGACCAACAGGCAGCCGTGATTTCACTGTCAGCTGTCTGTTACTGAGTCTTGTCAGAGTAACTGAAATTAGTACTTCCAACCCAGTTTCTGGTGAATTATCCACTCCTTTATATCGTAAATCCATGATTGATAATTTAACCAATAAATCATTTGCTATTATTAAAAAGAAAAAAGCAACCAGGTCATATTTTTTTCTTTTCAAATTTATAAACCGTTACATATAAGGCCATAAAAACTTGATTGGCATTTTCTTTATAAATGTTTTAATGTATCATTTATAGTTAAAGCACAAAAAAAATTATTTCTATTTCTCAAGCACAGAAAACACTGTGTTGCTGGGTGTGGTGGGCCATGACTAGAGGCTAGAGGACTGCTGTGAATGTGCTGTGACTTGGCCATCAGGTCCAAGTCAGCCTAGGCTACAGTGACCACAGCAAGGAGAAAGAAAGAAGGCTTGCCAGCCAGTCTGGGAGCAGCTCAGAGCACTGGCTGTTCCCCCAGAGCATCTGAATTCAATTCCCAGCACACACATGATGGCTCACAAATGTTCGTAATTCCAGTTTCAGGGGATCCAATGCCCTCTCCAGGCACACACACATATATATAAAAAAAAAACTTACGACTGAAGTGTGGAGTATAACACAGGTTCCTATTACATAGTCCTAGACCTCAGTCTAGTCTCAAACTGCCACCCATGTCTCAGTGGTTCTCCTACCTCAATCTCTCTAGTGATGGGGGAGCTATTTATATCACTGAATAGCTTTTATTATCTCTCAAAGCCCAACATTAACGACCTCAAGATCAAAGGGCCAATAAACTTAATGAACTTTTAAAGTTTCCTCGTTCACTATGCATACAACAGTGTCCTAGCACCTAGAAAGTCGCAGGGCCTACTTCAAGTACTCAATAAACATGTGACTACTTGAGGGAACTAAATTTTCAAAGAGCTATATGGCAGGTAATGTTTGAGCCCCAAACCTTTCTCCAGACAGGCTAGGTTCATTCTTAATTACACTGGGTCTTAAGAATAGTTGGACTAACTAGGAGAAAAAAAAAAAAACTTACAACCTAAGAATATTTATATTAATATTTCCCCAAAAGATCCCAAAGATTTAGAATTCTCAAAAGATTCTTAAAATCAAATTCTTGTCTTTTAGAAGTTATGTTAATAAAAACATTTGTTGTTATTCATACTTTCCTATTGAGAAAACTCACCATGGTCCAAATTTTTAAAAATCGAGGCATAATTTAGAGTAAAACAAACATACTAAGCAGTTAGTTCCATCTTGTGGCAAATAACTGTACCCCCGCGGCCACCAGTAAATTTTTCTGTAAATATCTGTTTACCCCAGAAAGTCTTTCCCTGAATCTGTCTAGAATATCCCCCACTACTGAGTTCTGTAATCAAATACTCTTTTATTCAACATAAAGTTGTTGAGTTTCACTGGAAGGTGGTGGCTCATGTCTTTAATCCCAGCACTCGGGAGGCAGAGAAGGGACGGATCTCTGTGAGTCTGAGCCAGCATGGTCTACAGAGTGAGTTCCAGGACTGCACAGTAAAACCCTGTCCTGAGGGGAAAAAAAACAAAACAAAACCACCAACCAACCAACAGAACAATTGGTGGATTAATACCTCGTTCTTTTTTATTGCTGACGAGTTCACTACTTTATGGATATCATAATTCACTTTCCTCTTGGTAGATGTTTGGGTTGCTTCCAGTTTGGAAGAAAGTTATGAATAAGGGTGATAATACATAAACAAGATCTTATGTGGATGTATGTTTTTGATCTTATCCTGCTTCTAAATTACAGGTTCAAAATTTGTCCCTTGGACAAATAATAGGAATGAACTTATTAAAGGCTGGGTATGCTTGTGTTACTCTGAAAAAAAAAAAAATATATATATATATATATATATATATATATATATATATATATATATTATTTTTTAAACAAACCAGTGTTTCTCTGTGTAGCCCGGGCTACCCTAGAACTCTCTCTCTGTACACCAGGCTGACCTTGAACCCAGAAATCCACTTGCCTCTACCCCCCACCCCCACTCTACCCTCTGCCATGCTGGAATTAAAGGCTTGAACCACTACCACCTTGATCATTTGTTGGTTTTTAAGTATTTTTGTTAAGTTTCAAAGAAGTGAACTAATTCATGTTGACAAAAATATCATGGCTAGCGTATGAATCTAGAAAAAAACCTGTTTTCTGGCTTTTGAACAGGGACATTTTTCTTCCCACAGTTTTATTTTTAAAGCTTACAAGATGATAGAAAAAATTTTTTAAGATCAATATATTATGCCTCTGAAGAACAAATTACACTAATTTACCTTTAAGGCCTTATTCTTGCAAATTTAACAGAAAGAAAGATGGTTTTGGACAAATTAAAACTGTCGGTATTTAAATCCTGTGTAGTAATTTAGAATTTCCATGTGTTTTCTAAAAATGCAGATTCATCATGAGAGAACTGTGGGGTGGGAATCGGCTATATCTAAATAGGGAAAGACTAATTTTCACAGAAGAAAATGATATTTTTGGTCTCTTAAACATGTAAATGAACTTCTTAAAAGCAGCCCTCTAAGTTTTTATTTCAATGAAAATCTATATTATAGATCCTACAAGTAGCTCACTCAAGAAAATGCAATGTCATTAGCTATTACAGTCTACTTTGAAGAGGGGAGACTGAGTGAAAAGTAGCTTGAAGGTTTTTACCACTACTCCAGAACAGACCTTATCACAGTTATTGTCATATCCAAAACAGAATGTTTTCATGAAGCTATTATTACAACTAAGTTAATGCTTCTTAGACAAAGTACCAATACTAGATATGTAGACACTATACTGGGGCTTAAATAACTACTACTAAGATGCTACACTTAACCGGGCCTGAAAACAAAATAAAACAGACATTGGAATTGTCATTATTTTTGAGAAACAGTCCTAACATTATGTATTTTAAACTGGAAGTCATTACGCACTATTGATTTGGAAGGGGAAAAGTTATAGTTGAAGTTCCTTAATGTCTTTAATAAAGACTAAATATTTATTGCCAAGAGGGACCTGTAAGAAATCATGCTTATAAAGTCTTCTAGCTACTAAACTCGGTATCATACTATCTGTTTCAAGCACGTTTCATCTATTTAAAAAAAAAAAAAAATGAACCTATTATGTCATAACCAATGCATATAATGCAAGTCGCCCTACACTGGGGTGATAGAAAAATTTTTATTTTTCACTGTTAAAAACCTAATTAATGTGTATTATTAGAATAAACTGGCAAAGCAGAACAATGCCACAAAACGACTATATCCCTTTGGCTTTGCATTGCTAATTTAGTGACTACATTTAAGGGTATATAACTCAAAAGGGAAAACCAACTGTCTAAGTATACTTAACAGTAAGCTATAACTAATTTTTAAAATAAAGAATTCTACATTTCAAGCTGTAAGGGATGTGATGGCAAAGTACAAGCTTGGTAATTGTTACATCTGCAGGAGGATTACATTTTAAAATAGAGTGTTAAGTAAAGAAATTATAAAAGAGGGAGAGTCGTTTCTTTACATGCTACATTTTTAAACAATAAAATCTCTTCAAAGAGGAGATCTGGATGTTTATAGAGAACTGGAGATTTGGACTGTTTCTCTTCTGTTATTTTTGTGTTACTTTGGGTGTCTACATGTTTTGGTGTTTATTAGTCAGCTGCCAAGCTGTCCACTCGATTTCATATACTCTATCGGATCTCTTAACATCAAAGTGTAGCGGAGCAGCAGCCACTGACAGTAAAAACCTGCAACTGTTGAAGCCTGTATGATGTAGTTTGCCCATCTACATCTATGACAAGTCTTTTCTGTTGCTACCCCTCACCCGAGAGGGACTGGCATCAAACGCACACCTGTTTGACGAAGTACTCCAGTAAAAACAGTGGACCTGGGATGGAGCTGACGCCGGGCCCTAAATATTCCTCACCCATTTGGTATTAACTCCATCTCCTGATTCGCGGCCTCAGTTTTCATTTTCTTCCATCAATCTTCCAACTGCTGTATTTTAAGTCAGCTATCTCGGGAAGGCTGCAGGCCAATCAAGCCTACTTACCTCATTATTATCTTAATTCATGCTTGCCCTCCCAGACGCTCACTCGGGAGCTCCTGATTTCCTCACCATCCTATACAGTCTGGAGAGCCGGTGTACAAAGACCTGCTTCACACTGTGATGCCCCAAACCCGAACCACCAAGTACCGAGGGCATCTGCGGGCTTTCAGTCAAGACTCGGGTGCTGATTCGTGGGACCCTTTCAGACAGGTAGGACCTCAACCCACTAAACCTCAAGGTCGGCTACTTTTCTCCACCTCCGCTAGCTCCGGGAACGGTCGTTACGGAGGTGACCTCCAGCCCCCACGTGTGCGGTGGAGAACTGAGGTCACTTCTGAGGTGGCTTGGGAAAGAAAGCGCCGCACACGCGCGCTCTGCGCGGAGCCTGTGCGTCTCCCCCGCCAGCAGGGCGCCTCCTGCCAAGGGCATTAGGTGCTTCCTCGGCACAGGCACGCGGCGGGGAGCACGACGATGGCACCGGCCGCCCCTAACTCAGCGCCACCTCCGCGGGGCCGCCGGGGAGACGGGGCCCTGTGCCCGGCGCCGCACAGGCGCACGCGGGGCGCGGGTCACGTGCTCAGGCCTGGCGCCCCGCCCTCCCCGGGGCCCCCTCGCCCGGGGGCGGCGCGCGCGGATGGGGCGGGGGCGGGAGGGCTACCTGTGAGGCGGGCGAAGCCGGTGATGCTCTCGGGCACCGGGAGCTGCTTGAGGTAGGCGGGCAGCTGCACCTTGACGATGCGGGCCACGCTGTCCAGAACCATCGTGCCGCCGGCGTCCGCTGCCCGGCTGCTGCGCTTGCGTGAGAGCGGAAGCGGCCGGCGGGCTCGCGGGCTCGGGCGGGAGGATGGACAGCCAGGCCGCGATTGGCGCGCGCGAGTGACGTGCGCGCTGCGGAGCGGAGCGGAGCGGAGCGGTGTGGACCGGGCCTGCCACGCGCCGCGCCGAGCGAGCGCAGGCCGGGGACCCGGTGCCACGCCTTTGCGGGGCCCTTCCCTCGCCGCCCCTCGGGTGGCCGCGACCCCCGCCCGGCGCCGCAAGCTCACCTGCCGGGTGGCCGGGGTTTATGGCCAACCCAAAGCAAGAACTACATAGTGATTTCTCATTTCCCCAGGTTTAGTCTGTCCAGCTCAAGGAGCCTTTCCACCCCCCCCCCTTCGGCCACTCTAGAAGTTACTATAGTTCGTGGTTACATTTCATTTTTCAGTTCCCTTTGAGGGTGAGTTGACTAAAACGCTTCAGGGAAGTGTTTTTGTTTAAAGCCCAAATGAGAATTTACCCCTTGTTTTGTTTCTGAGGCGTCATGTACCCGGGCTGACGCCAAGGTCAGTAAACTGATTAAGTAGAGCTTCCGATTCTCCTGTCTTCATCTTTCTAATGCTGGGGTTACCACGCCTGCCTTGTGGAGTTTCTTTGGTACAAGGCCTCGCGTGCTTCTTCTACATTTTAAACATATTTGTGAAGTTTTACATATTTTGGCTGAAGTCAGAATAGCCACAGTAGTGCACTTGTGGGGTTAGGGGCTCCTTTGGACCCAGGCCTCCTGTTGCGTAAGCTAGTTACATCAGCAGGCTTGAAGGTCACTGGAGACGACCCCTCTTTCAGTCTTCCGTACTGAGAACTGCACTGCAACAACAAAAGGGGATCTAAACCACATCTCTGGCCTCGGTGAAAACATGACCTTCTAAACGGACCCAAACATCTTAGTTTGCTATCTGATGCTGAGGAGGAGGGCTTCCTCCTAAGAACAAAGACATAACCATTGTTGCCCTCCCTTAAAAGATCTTCCAAATGGGCCTGTCAGGAAAATAACCCCTAGGGAAATTGTTCAAGAAACTCAGAAACTGAAATAGTACAAAGCCTGCTTTTAAAACATGTCACAGCACCACAGTTTCTTTAGCTGTGTCCACCGGCCACCTCTTGAGAGTGTTCCCTCTGCAGTGTCCCTTCGGTCAGTGCCCACTTTGACTCTGTGAGCCCCCCACTGTACCAGTCAATAAAATCTGTCTTCTCCACTATCCTCCGTCTTGTCTAATTTTTTTCAACAGATCACAAGGCCTGGGAAGCTGAGGGGAGCCTAGAACCTGGTAAAAGTATCAGAACTTGAGAGTTCTAGAACATGTAGTATTTGGTATGCCAATGTAACATCAAATTGTAATCAATAATTTTTATGGGTATTTTAAAGTTGGAAATAGCAAACTGTCCTTTGAACTGTTTAAATGTAATCTTTTACTAAAACACTAAAGAGTAGCAGGTAATAAAAACCTTGAGCCAGGCAGTGGTGGCGCACGCCTTTAGTCCCAGCGCTTGGGAGGCAGAGGCAGGCGGATCTCTGAGTTTGAGGCCAGCCTGGTTTCCAGAGCGAGTGCCAGGGCAGGTTCCAAAGCTAAACAGAGGAGAAACCCTGCCTCAAAAAACCAAAATATAGAAATAAAAACCTTGAAAAAATTACTATCATTTTTAACCAGATTAGATTGTCCAAGTATAATGGAAATTGCAGATATTTGGATATAGATGTGTTCGTGATCAATGGTATAGCAATATAAATGATACACACAAAAAGTGATTATTTAAAAGGTCAGTGTTTGTATTAGGATTTCCATTCCTTTTGGTGATTTGGCTTTTTACTTATTTATTTTTGTCTGAAGGGAAAAAGAACCTTAAGTTCTTTGTCTTAATAGAGTGAGATTTATGCATTCTTGCCCCTCTGGGCTACTGTATTATCTTGAACGTTTGCTGGCCAGGTATACCATTCTTGTGGAAATGACTGAGGTAGTGAGGTAAGTTGGAAGTAGAGTAAGCTGAAGAAGAACATTTGAGAAAGGACATTGGATATTTTTTTTCCATTCATTTCCACAAGGACAAAGTGTGCTTTGTTGAATGACCTCTACAGTTTTATTTTTCATTTAGGATAAAAAGTAGGTATCTCTCTTACAAGTACAGTAAGTTGTTCAAGTGCTAGATTATAGTTCAGGGTACCCAGTCAACACGGGATATGTCTAATATCCAGAGAGATTCTTTGTATTCTTTATAACCACACTTGCAATACTATCACTGCAGTTGTTTTGCTTTGTATGTGTTGAATTTCATATAAAAGGAATTACACTGTGTTTTGTTTGGTGTGTGTGTGTGTGTATGAGAGAGAGAGAGAGACTGTATATGAGAGAAAGAGAGATTAGCTTCCCCTTAGTAGTAGTATTTGTACATATTTTTTGATGGACGCTTATATAGCTACAACTTTTTTACCTTGAAATCTAGAAAAGTATGGATCATATATTAGCCACTTCTATTACATGGCAAGTGCTAAACTAAAAGATAGTTCTGGGCCTGGAAAGATGGCTCAGCAGTTTAGAGCACTTGCTGCTCTTGAAGAGGACTGAGGTTCAGTTCCTAGCAGCCACACGGCAGCTGATAGCCATCCATAACTTTAGTCACAGGTGATCTGAGATCCTCTTCTTACCTCTGCAATATACCATGCAAATAAATAAATGCAGGCAAAACACTCAGACACTCAAATATTTAAAAAAAAAAATTGTAAAGGTCCTACCAACTATAAGATCCTTACAGGGGATATTTTCTTAGATTCTTTTCAAAATCTATATCCTGTTACGCTTTCTTTTTAAATATTTCAGTGTGTGGCTGTTTTGCCTGAATGTGTGTGCACCACACGCATGCCTGATAGCATGAAGACCAGAAGATACCTTGGGACGGAGTCACAGACTGTTATGAGCCATCATGGGGGCTCTGGGAATTAATCCCAGGTCCTCTGTAGAGCAGCTAGTCTAGGCCCCTTTATTTCCTTTTTCTAAATGGTCACAGGTAGTCCAGTATAACCTTGCATACAGCACTATACCTAGTACATTCCATTTTTGTTTTTTCACCTCAACAATCCTGATTTCTTGGGTGTGTGATATTTATTTCTTGGTTGTCAACTGGACTATATCTGAAATTAACTAAAACCCTGCTGGGCACACCTGTGATGGATTTTTCTCTTAAATAATTTGAGACGGCAAGACCCAACTTTAATCCAGATCTTTTGAAGTGGGAAGATCCATCTTTAATCTGGGTCACACCTGCTGGCAGCCTGTATAAAGGGCATGGAAGAAGGAAGCTTGCTCCCTTTGCCTGCCTGTGCGTGCTCTCTCTCTCTCTCTCTCTCTCTCTCTCTCTCTCTCTCTCTCTCTCTCTCTCTCTCTCTCTCTCTCCATTCCTTCACTGGCATTAGAGCATACTTTGGGATTCCAGCATATACTGAAGCCCAGCTGAGACACTGAACTTTGTGAACTGAATAGCCACTGACTGGATTCTTGGACCTTCCAATGGTAGACAGCCATTGTTGGATTTGCTAGACCACAGCCTGTCAACCATTCTAAGAAATCCCCTATAGACAGACAGATGATGTAGAGAGATACAAAGATTTAGATAGATGAGAGGTAGGCAGGCAGATAGATAGATGAAAGATTCATTACTAAGTCTGTTCCTCTAGAGAACGCTAATACATTGGGTATTCATAAAAAAAGACAACATATAAAACTATTTTGTTCTAAAGAGAAGTGGCATGCATATCTGACTACTTAATGACACAGTACTTAACCAATTCTGGTCTTATTGGCACTAAAATGTCATCTTTAAAAAATACCAAACTATCTAACAGAGTCTTATGTAGCCCAAGCCAATTTCAAAATCATACTCCTACCTTTGCCTCCCAAGTGCTAAGATTATATGCACATATCAGCTTTCCTTACTGTTTCTTAATTATTACTTGTCTGTTTCCAAGTGTCATTATATTCTGAATTTTAAAACAAATCGTTGTACTTACTAATACTTAACTGTAACGAGTATGGTTTTTCCACCCGCTGCCCGGTCTTGTTCTGCCACTGAGCCAGCCCCAAATAACACATAGAGACTCTGTATTTGATATTATACTGTTGGCCAGTTACTACTTTCTTATCGGCTAGCTCTGTCTTAAGTATTAACCCATTTGTGTTAATCTATGTATTTCCATGTGGTCTTCTTACCGGGAGCCGGCTGCTGCGTACTGCTCTCTCCAGACTCTCCATCTTGACTCCTCCTTCCTACTTCCTTTTTTTTCCTTGTCCCTAGTCCCTTCTATCTCCTTTCCTATTGGCCAACAGTGTTTATTATTAACCAGTATGAGAAACATATATACATAATGGCATCTCCCATCACTTAACCTTTATTAAATTAAATTATACAGTGTATTTTGTGTCTGGCTTTACTTAAAATATTGTGAGATTTGTCTGTGATGTTACTTGTAGCAGTAGTACATTTGTTTTACTGTTACATATTATTCTATCAGTATACCATTTGTTGTTAATGGATATTGGATATGTTTCCACTATTTGGTTAAAGGCTGCTGCTAGGAATATTCTTGTACATATTTTTAGTGTGCTCCTGTATGCATTTTGTTGGTGGTTCCCTTAGACCTATTAACTCACTGGTAAATTTCTAGATTGTTGTGACTTTGGAGGTCACTATGAAAGTAGGTCAAACATGAAAGGGAAGAATGCTTCCCAGGAAGCACGGCTTCAATGAATGAGACAGATCTATTTATTGGCCAACTTTCGGCTCTGTGTGTGTTGTGTATACATGTTTCTGTGAATCTGTGCGTGAATGCGTGAGTGTGTGTGTATTACATGCAGAGGTTAGAGGTCAACTTTGGGTATATCCCCAGATCTCTCTTCATTTTATCTTAGAGACAGAGTCTCTTACTGAACCTGGGGCTCGTGGATTTGGATAGGCTGGCTGGACAACGAACTTTAGAAATCTGTCTCAGCACTGGGGTTACAAACACAAACCACAACAGGCTTTTTACA